GTGTATTCTATGAGCGCTTCATGCATAGATGAAATGCATTTTGAGTATATCCAGTACCCTCCCCACTTCCAACTCCTCTCAGACTCTTTACATACTCACTCAAATTCGTGTCCTTAGGTTTTTATGATGGATTCCTAGCTAGTGTTTACTTTCAATTTAGCACTATCAAGAGTCACTTATAAAGAGGAAGTCTCATTCGAGAGTTCACATTGGGCTGACCATGGTCATATTTGTGGGGAATTGTCTTGACTGATGACTGAGGTAGGAGGGCCTAGCCAGTTGTTGGTGGCACCAGCTCTGGACAGGTGGGCCTGGGCTATATAAGAAAGCTAAGTGAGCAAGCCAGGAAAAGTAAGTCACTAACCAACTCTCCTTCATGGTTTCTGCTCCACGTTCCTGCTTTGAGTTCCTTCCCCGAATTTCCTCAGTGATAGATTATTACCTGGAACTGTCAGCTTAAATAAGCCTTTCCTCCCCCACTTTGTAGTAATATTTCATTTGTATTTTAATAAGTAAAGCTTTCCTGAAGTTCAGAGAGTAAAACAGCTGCACTGATCAGGCTTACAGGCCAGGCAGCAATGGCACACACCTTTAATCCCAGTAGCCACACTAGTTGGCCATAGAAACCAGGTGGTAGTGGTGCACACCCTTAATCCCAGCCCTAGAGGATTATAAAATGGGAGGAGACAGCTCTCAGACACAGTCTCATTCTGAGATTCCTGGAGGCAGGGTCGCCAGTTCGGACTGAGGTAGAGGTAAGAGTCAGTAGTTGCCTGTTTTGCTTTTCTGACCTTCAGGTTGAATCCCACTTTCTGTCTCTGGGTTTTTATTAATCATGCTTCACCTCTTGGCTTTTGGTCATGGTATTTATCACAGCAACGTAAATCAAACTAGGCCACGGGATAACCGATTGCCTTCTGACAGGATTTAAGATCTGTTACACAAGATGCAACTCATGCCTGGTGTTGTAAACCTGGCCAAGAACTTGTGGGTGCAGAGCTTCCCTGCCCTAGGGGTGAAACTACTACCTATATTGTGTTAAACGGACACGAATCAAGATCCCTTCTGAATACCCATCTTTATACACACAGCTCAGTGCGGTTCTCAGCCTTTGCCAGAGAAGCTTGATTAATAATACAGATACATTGTTCGAGGTGCAGAGAATACATGACTGTAGACTGGGTGTGAAGCGGTGCTTGGTGGCCTCATGCCCTTTGTGTGCATGGTGTGTGCACTAATATATGCGTGTACACAGTGTGTAAGAGCTCATGCATGTGTGTGCATGTGGAGGCCAGAAGTCAATGGCTGGTGTTTTCCTCAATCATTCTCCGCTCTGTTTCTGAGATAATCTCTTGCTGATCTGGAGTTTACCGAGTCCCGAGGATTCTTTAGTTTCCACCTCCCCATGTTGCTCCTGGTTGTTTCACATGGGTCTAGAAGATCTAACTTGGGTCCTAACACCAAGTGCAACAAATACTTCACCAACAAAGTCCTTCCAGATTCTTCATGTGCTTATTTTTTAAATATTTATTTATTTATTATGTATACACTGCTCTGTCTACATGTATCCCTGCAGGCCAGAAAAGGGCACCAGATCTTGCTGGACTTGAACTCAAAACCTCTGAAGAGCAGTCAGTGCTCTTAACCTCTGAACCATCTCCCCAGCCCTCCTCATGTACTTTTTAACTCTATCTTCTCTAGTCCCATGTGTGCCTAGTCTCTAATTCAATTGTTTGGTTTCTTATTACATTTTAAGAATTTTTATATGTCTTTGGGGCTTTCTTTGTTTTTCTTCATCTATTCTGCTTTTGATAACTTTTTCTGTGAAGACATGAACAAATTCTAGTTATCACATATAAGGACTGACCAAAGTACCGATTTCACCCAAGTCTAAATCAGTGGACCAGTGAGCATGGACAACAGGTTGCTCCAGAAACACAGGCGACTCAGAAGCATCAGTGGAAAGCCCACTCAAGCCCACATGATAGTTCATAAAAGCTGCATCCCTGGAGTTCCTGTTCTTAACTTGCCAACTACTAAACAGATTAGAGTGTCTCCTGTACACAGAAGTTGTTACAGTTTGAGGGCTGTCCTTGTGAATGTTATAAGTTTCAGGAACTTTCTAAGACTTGTGAGGTGTTTATTTTTGAGCCTGGCAAGTTTTGTTTACTTGCATAGTTTTAAAGAGGTTCCTCCAAGATGAAATTATTACTTTTTGAGCAAATTGCTACACAACAGCTTCTAGGACTGGGTGCTTTTCTTTGATCTTTAAATTTACTGACTTTCCCTCCCTTGCCTGCCTAGAGTTCCCTGGGCCATCTCTAGGGACTTTCTAATGCCAGTTGTGCGTATCAAATCCAAAATTTTTATTTAGTTACTTCTTTAAATTTCATCTCTTTATGGAAATTCTGTATTTGTTGAAGGATTGCTCTCTTTATTTCATTCTGTTCTTTGAAAATATTCAAGCATTTGGCTTTAAGCTTCTGTCTAGTGGGGCTACTTCGTGTGATTTTTTTTAAAGGAAAGGTTTTATTTATATCATTTTTCCTAGTAGCAATCCAGCTTTCTTGCTTCTTTTAATACTTTATAATCCTTCTGTTGAAATTGGACATTTATAATAAAATGATGTGATAACTCTGGAAATCAAATTTTGTATTTTATTTTTGTTGTTCTTTGTTAGGAGTTGAAGGTGTTTCTATATTATTTATTTTATTTTATCAGTTTTTGTGGTACTTGAGATTGAACTCAAAGCCTTTCAAATGCCAAACAAGCAGTATACCACAGAGATATAACTCAACCCTTGCATTTACTTTTTATTTTGAGACAGAGTCTCCATGCAGTGCTTAGATTGTCCTTAAAGTCCTTCTTGGTCCCAGGCAAGTCTTTAATTTGCAACTTTCATGTCTCATGCCTCTGAGTAGCTGGTACTATAGCTCTATGCTGCCAGGCTCAGCTTGTAATTATTTAGTGATTTTTCTAAACTTTTCTATTTTGTAGAGTTTGTGCTGGCCCTTTTGGTCTCTGAAGCCTAAGCACCATTATCTATCAGTCAATTACTTAGTGATAGAGGTGTTATCAGACATCCACAGTAGAAGGGAGAAAATAGGAAGAAAAGAAGATGTATTTCCCATCTGGGGAGTCTGGCTGTGTTGGAAACACTCCTTTAATACTTGACCAGGCTGTTTACAATGCTGCCTTAATTTCACTTTTTGCTTATGCTAAATCTAAAGATCACCTGAGGTGAAAGCTTTTTGGGAACATATGACCTGTCTGGAGCATGCATGCTGGATTATAAAGTCCTCTGTATATATGACAGGTTTTCAAAATCCTAGTTTTCCAAAGGACCTCACTCCCTGGCCTCTCTTCTTAGGCTCCAGAATGTCTGTCATTTGCCTCAACTGTCAATGTTGGCCTTAGGCCAACAATGTTTGGCTTTCATGATAGCTGCTTCTCTGTCTGAATGGGTTCTGGAAGGCTGCACCAGTTGTTCAATGAACTTAGAAGTAAAAAGAGAAAGAAAGAAAGAAAAACCAGTATCTTCTATTTGTAGTGATTAATGAGACCACACAAAGACCACCAGTTACCGTCTCCAGGAAAGCACCAAACTGAGCATGTGCCGTAGGACAAGGCAAGGCTGGCCTCCAGTGTGCTTACCTGGGGTGGGAGATCACATAGCTGTCAACTCTTGAGTATTTTCCATAGTTACAACAGGACTAATTTGAGTAGTTTTGCCAGATTTTCAGGGTTTCCTGGAAGGGTTGGACAGAAGCCCCCAGTTCACTGTTTTCACTGGCCTCCTTTGTTGGAATTTTAATTCTGATTTCAGGTGACTAACTTTTGGAAAGTTCTTGTTAAATTCAACAAATTTTTTTAAAGTCTATGTACCTTTTTAATTCAACATTTTAATCCAATGAAAGTTTCTTCATCTTTCTCTACCACACAGAAAACAGCATCTGCTGTTCATGAAATTTGTGACATAGCCTTGTCCAGTTTTGTTCCATTTGTACATAGAAAAGAAAAACCTCCAACAGAATTAATGTATTAACCTCTGCTACAGCAGTGTCTCCCTTGTGTGTAATACTAGAGGGCCCATACAGCTAACACTCCATGGTGCACACACACCAGTAGATACATATATGACGCATCTGTTAAAGTGAAGGCCAGCTCTGCCATGACCAGGACACAGTGTGCAAAGAAAAGGCAGGCCATGATACTTTTGTTTTTAACTCTAGATTAATTAAATTACACAAAACTTGGAATCAGCCCCCATTGGCCATATTTCAGTCTCATTTGTTCTGGTAGTTTTGGCTGATCGGTCAGAGCATGCCAGGGACATGAGAGAGATAAATGGTAGGTCAACGCCTGTGTGACCAGAAATAGGGGTCAATGAGAAAGCATCCGCCTGTGCTCTCAGCCAACAGCAAGCTTCTGTCAAAGGACAGTCAAGAATGGGATGAGTTGTTGTGTAACCAGGAGACGAATTGCAGATCCTAACCCAAGACGGAACCCTGTGCGCGGGGCAAACCATCCTTTGTGTCAATATAAAGAGGAGAAAGTCAATTTTTACAGAAGGCAGTTTCCTACTTAACACATCAGAGTTGAAGCCTTGAAAGCCAAGTATCATCTGAGGAATAGTTGGAGTCATGGCTGCAGCTCTGCCTCAAAGTAGGAACATCAGACAGAAAGACCACAAGGTACACCAGAAGAGGAGCGATAATGAGACAGCCACACTTAGCTATCCAGCCTGTGTTCCCGAACCATAGGGGGTCAGAGTACACTTGGCTGCAGGCTCAAGGCAGCTCCTGTGAAACTTTTGAACTCCAACCTAAGGAAGTAATCTGAACGAAAAGGAGAGTTCATGAGCAAAAATAACTTACCATGATGCAAAACTGGAAACAAAAAGTATACTGTGATCACTGCAGTTAAACAAATTGTATGAAACTTCATGAACAGACACTAGATGACAATTAAACATGAGTGTCTGTCTTCTCCCTCTTCAGGAAGCTGCACTGCACCAGGAACTACATCCACCTGAATCTGTTCCTCTCCTTCATGCTGAGAGCCATCTCAGTGCTGGTCAAGGACAGTGTGCTCTATTCCAGCTCAGGTACACTGCGCTGCCACGACCAGGCAGCCTCCTGGGTAAGACTTTTCTAAGGGCAAGAGCCGTGTGCACAGGGCAGACCCTAGTGCCTGACAAGCCATGTGCACAGGGCAGACCCTAGTGCCTGACAAGCACTTTCCTCTCTAAGGGACAGCAGTGGCCTAGCCCTTTTCCAGCCTGAGCAAGGCAGAAAGGAATGGCTTCAGTCCTGTGTCTGCAACCAAGACCAGGAAGGCCCACAAGAATTCTGGGTGGTATCTAGCCACTGTGGGGGCTGGGGAACTGAAGGGCAGCAGGCCCTGGTGACCATTACTGAGATGAGTGCAGCAACAGATGACAAGCCCTTTTGTAGATGAGGTACACTTGTCCAAATTACCCAGATGCTAAGGGATCAAAAATATTACTTATTTTCTGGAGAAATCAACCCATGTGGTAGAAACGCTGGACAGTGCCAGGGGAAACGTACGTAATCTACATCTTTCATACAAGAACAGACCATGCTGATGATGGCGTCTGCAGTATGGCAGGGGCTCTCTCCCATGCCAGGCCATTCTGTCTTGGCTTTGCTTGTGGGGTAAGTCATGGTAATTTGCTACCTATTCAACTGGACAGGTATTTGAGAGCTTCCTGCAATCAAGTATTCCCAGGCATGTAAGGCTCCACGTTTGGAAATCTGGTGTGTTATTCCTAATTCGTGACCTCAGTAACTTAAAGAGACAGGACACTCAACTGCTTCCCACTGCTGCCTGCGAGTAGACACATCAGATAACACCCTTTGATCCTGAACAGATGTTAATTAGTTTACTTTTGACACAGCAAAGTGCCTTGTAGTTGTATAGCCATTACCATCTTCCTGAAGTGTGTTCTTCAGGCTCATGATACAGAGTGGGCTGTAAAAAAGAATATGTTATAATAGCAAACCAAAAACAGGATGCACCACATGGCAAAGTCTGCCCCCAGGCATACCTTGCTGTCTCTGAAACTTTTGTCCTGAGGTGAGGGTGTTGATACCTGTGTTCCAGTGGTAAACACCAAGATGTTGCGAATCCCCTCACTGCAATGCTCAGAGCTGCTCTGGGCAGCTTTCATTCCTTAGCCCCTTTCTGAATGGAGATTAAGGGGAAGTGGATGGGAAAGGAGGTAGATGGGAGGTGTGGGGAGGGGACAGGAGAAGAGGAGGGAGGGGAAACTGTGAACAGTATGTAAAATAAGTGAAAAGTGTTAATTGAATAAAACTTTTTTAAAAAAGAAATTGATCCCCAGAGATAACCCAATACCTACTCTTCTGAAGCACCTATGCTCAACTCTGCCTTGATGCTGAGACCCCAAAAGCCTGAACTCTCCTTGTGGAGGGGCAGAGAAAAGGTGGCAGGCACCCCTGAAGTGGGAAAGGGTAAAGCAGTGGCACCACCCTGCTCTGCCCTCTCCACCTCCCGTGGCAGTGTTGAGTTTCTTCTAGCGCTAGCCTGTTTCCCTGTCCTGTTTGTAAGTGCTTGATGAACCAGGATTTACCTGCATCACAAAAGATGAGCCCAGCCAGGGTTGAGGAAATCTTGCAGTTTCCCCAAAGTACTGAGGAGTCAGCCTGAATGCCTGCTACTCACCCAAGCCCTGACACTAGCATCCTCAGGCCAGTGCCAAGGGCTGAATGAAAGTTGAAGATGGGGACAGGTCCTCCAGTCTGTTTCCTGAGCTATTCTCCAGGGAGTAGAGTATCCAGCTGTGCCCAATACCCCATGGCCCTGGGAATCCTACCAAGAGGAGACAGACAGGAGGGACAAAGAAGGAAGGCAAAGCACAGCATGGAGGGAAGAACGGAGGGAAAAGACAGGGCTGTCTAAAGAATGATAAAGTACTGAACATGTTAGCAAAATAGAGTCAGATTGCAGAATGAGCAATAGGAAACAATTTTCTTTCCAGTTTCATTTTTTTTTCCATTTTATTCCTGGCTGTATTTCGCTAAATCAACATTATTCTCCAAAGCAACCCACCAGGAATGCTCCCCACGATGTGACAAATTGCTTTTTCCAGGCAGCAGAACGAGTCCATGCATGAAGAGACCTCTTCCTGGCCAGGGGAGGCTGGCAGAACAGCTAGCTCTTCCATGTGGTTGAAGGCTGCACAGGCTCCTCCACTTCTGGGCAGTTTGCATGCAGCTAAACAGTTTATCATGAGAGCAGAGCAGGTTTCTTTTGGGGTTTGCAGATCCTAAGAAGCCTAAGCTCAGCCCGAGTCCTGCCTGCCTGGATGAGGGGAGTGGATAAGCCACAGCTGTAAACACTAGAGCAAGACCCAGACAGCCACCTGGACAGACAGGTTCTGTGGCGATGAAGAGAGAGCAGCTGTAAACACTACAGCAAGACCCAGACAGCCACCTGGACAGACAGGTTCTGTGGCAATGAGGAGAGAGCAGAGCAGTGGCCCAGGCTGGAATCCTGGCTGGGATACTCACCCCACATAGCTGGCATCAGAAGACCCAGAAGGCAGGAAATGAGAACAGTGAGTGATATTACCCACATACATGTCGAGCAAATGCAAAACCTATGCCTGAACATATTTACAAAAATGTGTGAAGATATAGACATGTACAAGATGTTGTCCAAACACATGTGTACATGCATCACAAGTCTATTTTGTGCACTTATACACATGCACCCCAGACACATGAATATGCACATGTCTATGTACACAAACAGAGGCTCCCAGACAGAGCTTTGATCTCTCAAGAGCCCGCTATTGATTTGCCTGGCACTTTTAATTCTTCCCTGCTATCCTTGCACTGACCTAGCAGGGCAGCAGCAGACCCCCATGCACTCCAGTGTTATGTGGTTCAGTGGCTAGTGTTGTGGAAGGTAAAGTCAGAAGAAGACCCATGTCACTCAGGCCTGTGGTCCTCACAGATCACATTTGTTAGCAATGAGCAAAGGGAAGGAGGTAAGAACATGGTTTAATAAGAACATGGAATGGTCACAAGCACACTTCTGTGCCTTCTCTTATATAGATGCCCTCAAGTCAGCTGTGCCCTGTTCTCTGCCATCTAGATCATGTTATAGCTATCATATGGTACAGCATAATTCATCTGACTGGCTCCCCAGCACAGACACGATCTTGGTTTTGCATGTGTCTGTTGTCTCTCCAGGCATACTCTTCCACACACCAATGTGTTCGTCTTTCTCTGAGGTACAACTCACAGGTGAAGTGGAGCAGGCAGCTCAGAGAATCTCAGCAGCCTGGACAATCATGATAACCCAGACACTTGCTTACTGTTCTGGAAGCCAAAATCCAGAACCAAAGCACTACCCATTGGCATCTCATAAGGGTCATAGATAGGGAACTGTCTTCTAAATCACATCCTCATTACCAAGCAAAACACCTCCTCATACCATTATCTGGGGGCTAGTACCTTACTGTCTTAGTAAGGTACCTATTGCTGTGAAGAGACACCATGACCACAGCAACTCATATAAAGAAAATATTTAATCGAGGTGGCAGCTTACAGTCCATTATCATCATGGTAGGAAGCATGGTGGCTGGGAGTGTGGTGGCATGCAGGCAGACATGGGCCTGGCTACAGCTTGTAGGTAGAAGCTGCTCATTTGTTCCTGGTCACCTAGACCTGAAATAACCACACAGACACTATATTATTTGCAATACTGCTTGGCCAATAGCTTAAGTATATACTAGCTAGCTCTTATATCTTAAATTAACCCATTTCTATTCATCTGTGTATTGCCACACGGTTGTGGTCTACCAGTAAAGTTCTATCTGGCATCTATCTCCTGCATATGTCTCCTGCAGCAGCTCCATGACTTCTCACTGACTCCACCTTCTTTCTCCCAGCATTCAGTTTAATTTTCCCACCTACCTCTACTCTGCCCTATCACAGGCCAAAGTAGCTTCTTTGTTCATTAATCAATAAAAGAACTTCCCACATCAACATCTTAATCAGAAGAGAACAGAAAGTGAACTATGACATTGGGAATAGCTTGAGCATAGGAGACCTCAAAGCCCACCCCCACAGTAATATATCCAAAAAGGTCATACCTCCTCCAACCAAACCACACACTCCCTTTGGGAGCCATTTTTTTCAAACCACCAACTTACAAATTACAAAGGCAGATTCATTTCAAATTGTAAGCAAATTAATTGATTGGTTTTGAAAATGCACCAGGAGAGCTATGGCATGATGTTCTCTCCTTGGTGCCCAGTATTTCTTTCAAAGACACTGCCAGGAGCAGCCTTCCTGGGATTCTCTCAGACAGCCCCTACCACCAAAAATGGTGTTATCTTTCCTTGACAAGTTTGCCTATTATCGTTGTTTACTGAAATGGGCCTTTTATGTTTCTGTTGCAAATGCATTTTCGGAGCCACCATTTGTCAATTGCATTTTAGTGATATTTTGCTTCCTAGAAGTTTTCAGTATTTTTGTAAGCTATAAGTTCAAAATTGTCTTCTAGCCTTTTAGCATTATGTTTATGTTTGGGTTTCAGGCTTTCTATTCTGATTTAGAAATATTTATTTTCAATTTTGTTCATTTATGTCTTTAATACACTTGTAATTTACTTATTTTGTGTTTTAAAGTAGGGTAGGCTTTATCAAATGTCAAAAAGCAAGATATATTTAAAATGTCATCACCTACCAGATTCTCGATGATTTTCAATTTGTTTCACCCACTATCCCAATGAATCATAACAAGATATAAAACTGTGGATCTTTGTTTTTCATTTTCATGGCTGGGTGGTTATGACATTTGTGCTCAGGATCCCACAATAGGAGCAGAACCTGCTGGAATCTCACTGATGGTGAAGATGAACAGTAAGAAATCTCTGGTTACTCCTAGAAATGGAAGTTTTTCTGTACCTTACTTCCATTTGGAGAAAAAGGGGGCAGCAAACAGAAGACTATTGTAGGACAGGCTGGGGCATGGGTAAGGTTCAGCGTGTTGAGGTCAAGCCCCTCATGGCCATGGAGACATGGCCATCTGGTAAGGCTTCCATATTTCCTGTAAGTGCATCCACCCTGTGTATGGTGTAAATACATAATCAGTATATTTCAGCCTTTGCACTCCCTTCATATAAACAGGGATTTCAATTTCATAAGCAAGTAGAAAATTGCTGCTTTTATAAGAAAAAGAATATCACTTTCAACTCCATTCTCATCTATGTATCTAGAAAGATGTATATCTATAGATAAGCACAAGTAGAAATGCATGTGTTTGAGAGGCTTGTATTATGGATAGGTATATGCAGGCTGGATGTATTTTATGTATAGAATGGGTATGTATTCAAATGCATGTGAAATGTACTCATATATGTGATATATTGTGCTCACTCATATGGGTGAGCACAAATTAGCATCTGTGTGTGGGTGGGTATGGCTACATCACACACACATATATGTGAAAAGATTGTAAAAGAATTAATTAGAGTTGGAAATAGAGTAAAACAAGAGAAATATAGAAAATGAACGATTTTTCCTAGGAGTTTTAAAATGGTCTTCACTGGAGTAAGAGATGACATATTAAATTAAAGGTTGTCAATTTTTTTAAGTCTAGGAACCTAGCTATGGCCCACAGTTTCTCTCCCCAAACTTCTGTTATCTATTAAGAAAATGACCACAGTCTGTCAACCTTTTCCAGTGTTGATACTTTGTTCAGATGTGGAGGTTGGGCCAGGAAGCTGCAGATTCACTGGCCAGAGGCGACCCTTTCCCCAGCATCCAGCCACTGACAGCCTCCCGGTGTCCTGGCCCTTCCCCGTACACACCTCAAGTGTGCATAGCATTCTTCTCGCTAGCTTTATGTCAACTTGGCACAAGCTAGAGTCGCTTGGCAAGTGGAATACCTGGCCTGTGGTCATTTTCTTGATTAATGATTGATGTGTACTGGTCCAGCTCCATGAGGAGCAAGCCAGTAAGCAGCACTCTTCCTGGCTTCTGCCTGAATTCCTGCCTCCAGGTTCCTGACTTGAGCTCCTGCCCTGACTTCTCTCAGGGATGAAATATGACTTGAGAGTTGTAAGACAAAATAAACCCCTTTCCTCCTTGAACCGCTTTTGGTCACGGTGTTTTATCACAGCAATAGAAACCCTAAGACAAACATTCCACTCATCACTTCATCCAGCAAGTGCTCTCCTCCACTGCATGTCGTAGAGATGGTTAGCCTCTTGAATGGGCAGTGAAGGAAGAACTGAGGTAAAGGCATGTCCGAGGGACCAGCAGTAACAACACAGCAGGAAGGAGGACCAAGTAGGAGGAGGTATGTCTGAGCCTGGTATCTAGGAAGGTGGCCAGCGACTGGCTCGCAGGAACTCACTGCCTCTACTTCCTCAGAGAGTTAGAGGCTCCCAGCAGATGGTCCCTGGCATTGTATATATAACAGCCTCTGCCTCAGTATAACACATTTTTTGCCTCTGCCAGGACAAGAAATTAACAACATCCCTTCAAGTCAGCCCTGTGGCTTTGCTTTACAACTTATCCAAACAGAGAGTAGCCCTGCCTACCATAACTATTTTTACCGACTGGCACATTCTCTCGCTGTCTCTGGTTCCAGGTCGGCTGCAAACTCAGCCTGGTGTTCTTCCAGTACTGTATCATGGCTAACTTCTACTGGCTTCTGGTGGAGGGGCTCTACCTGCACACCCTCCTGGTGGCCATCCTTCCTCCCAGCAGGTGCTTCCTGGCCTACCTTCTGATTGGATGGGGTAAGGGTTTCATACTCCCCATCCTGATTCCCATCTCATTTGGTTAACATCTGCAGGCTTCTGCTCAGACTTCCAGGGGGTATACTAAGTGGTTGCCTTGGAGACACTGAGGGGGTCCACTGAATTGCTTTAGCATTCTACCTCCATTCACACCCCCTTTTTAACTGAAACTGAGCTCCTGTTCCTATCTCTTTTCCCAGTCAGCTCACATCGACAATGAGATCAGAGAAGAGCAGGCTGATAACACATCTACCTGCTGGCGGGAGCCCAGCTCTTCCCAGAGCAGGGAAGAGATGGAAGCCTGTGTGGCTTGGGGGCGTCATGGGACCTGTGAGCATGTCTCCCTCTTACATGCCCTCTGTCTTCAGTAGACAGGTTTCAGACCTGTTCAAATCCTCAACTTTCAGGCATAGTTATCTTTGCTGCCTAATAAGGTGTAAGAATAAACCTTCGCATATTGACAAAGGCATTAAGCAAGCGCTTCCATATGGTCCTTGGGTTGCAGATTCTTTTTTGGAGTTCTGACTCTTAAGCAGAGTACCAGATTTGTGGGGGTGCTGCTCCTCATTAACAAGACTGAGCTGATCTGATGGGGTCTCTCCACAGGCATCCCCAGTGTGTGTATAGGCGCATGGACAGCAACCCGCCTCTCGTTAGAAGACACAGGGTGAGTGCTGTGTGCTGTGAAACAAGGCCTCCCAATGCCGGTTGACTATCTGGAAACTAAATAAACACATACAATTAGACCTAGGAAACACTTTGAGCCAGTCAAGGCATTTCTAGGCAGCAGTTAGAGCTCTGTGAATAGAAAACAGGCGTGTGGGTGGTCACTACACGTTTCGGTATTTGGAAGATGATCCACATGATCAAGCCAGGATCAAGGTGAGGATCAAGCCAGGCCTGTAGTTCAGCTGAAATTGGGATAAACCAGGCAGAATGAGTGATATTGTGTCAAGCAGGTAGAAGAAGGTTTTCTGGAAAAACAACAATGAAAAACATTGAGATCAGGCTGCGTAGCTGCCTGCATGGCCTCTGTGAGCGGCTCCTCCTTTGAGAACTTCTGAGTCCAGTGACACATGCATTCCTAGCCTAAATGTATACCACAAAAGACCCCGAGGTATCAATTGTCCACTGAAGGACATACATACCACACTCTATGAGTAGATGGTCTAAACCAATCCATTTCTTTAGCCTGTGACTTTCCCCCACCTCAGAGATGTTTCCGCAGTTGTGTTAGCTGGCCCAGTCACCCTTGGGCAAGCAGGAATGACAACACAGGCAGTGTTAGCTGCGGGCTCCATGTCTTGTGGGTTCCTGTAGGACGAGCCAGTTCAGCTGCCCATAACACATTGCCAGTCTGGGGCCCATGGTTGTGGAAGTCTGCCCTTGCTGGAACAGCTAGCATCCACTGTGGGCTGTAGATACCAAAGCAGGAAGCCTGACATAGCCATGCTTCTGCTGTAGATAACCTTAGTGGAAATCAGGCCCGCTTCAGCCACGTTCAAGGCATATTTTTTTTTAATTTTTCCTTTAAACACAGATACAAACAACTGGGGAGAAATACATTTTCAGAACAGAGAAAAGCCTCATGACATCAGGTGAAGTGAGCGTCCGTGCCTTGGGTTAAAATCACAGCTTTGAGACATGGCAACCCTGGAGCTACATGTCGGCCCACCTCCCCATTAGCAGGCTGTCAGGTTGGCTCACTGGGGAAAGCTGCTTCACTTTACACGCACAACAGTTAAATCTAGTTGGAGGTGACTGAAATGAAAGGGGGAAGGTTGGCTCTGCAAGCCCCATGTGAGAGGTCAGTCCTCAGCTGGCCGGCTCTCCCTGGTTTGTAGGTCGATTCACTGTGACACCAGTTTCTTTCTCTCTAACAGCTGTTGGGACACAAACGACCAGAGCATCCCCTGGTGGGTCATTCGGATGCCCATCCTAATTTCTATTGTAGTAAGTAGCTTCCCACGGAGAAGCTCTGCCCTGATCTTCTGCTACGCACCCACACTGTGCAGAGAGTGCAACCGCCATACTTCACTGGGTCCCATCACTTCCAGAGCAATGCCCAGGGAAGGGTGGGCTCTGAGGAGAGACGAGCAGAATCTAGGCCTGCAGGAGGTTATAACAGTCTGTCGTGCATCTCAGATAACCACAGTTTTATGCAGTAGTGCCCTCAATGCCTACATGAGGTCTTCTTTGGTGCAGTGGGCAGGCATAGTGCCTGGGGTCGATAGTCACCAAATCCTGTATGGGGATGTGGGTGGTAAGGGATAAGATTGAAGTCACCCACAGATCAAGTCGTCCTTTGTGGTCTCTGTGCAGGTCAATTTTGCCCTCTTCATCAGTATTATAAGGATCTTACTTCAGAAGCTAACCTCCCCAGATGTCGGTGGCAATGATCAATCACAGTACAAGTGAGTATCCACTGGTACAGCGTGAAAAATATACATCAAAGCATGTAGCGAACAGAAGGTCTAAGGCACAGCTCGCACCGACACCAACGTCTGCCATCCCTGCACTCAGAGGAACCAAGATGCCATGCTGATGTGATGATGGTGCTAATAATGAAAATGGGAATCTTCTCCCGTGTTTGACAGCATGCTAGAGCTTTGTAATGAAGTGTTCCTTACATGTGTGTCCTCCAATATCACAGCTTGTCATTCCCTTTGACCACACATTATTATTCATATAATCTGCCTTCCCTCCCAGACCCTGGGGCTGAGTCACACAGCCATTGCTGGCACCTTGTGCCTGGCCCTGCCTTAGCAATTATATTAAAAGTTATGTCTCATGTGAAGGACACAGGGCAGAGGTCAGGAATGTCTTCAGCTTATTTATGATTATTCAAGGAATCCATAAATTACCTGTCATTCACAAAGAAAATACAGACTCCAACTCAAATGTGACGAGGAACATAATGAGCTCAGTGCTGGTGTATCTGGTGCAGCTCGGGAGTCCAGGCTCAGATGCAGCTGAACTGGCTAAGAGTTACATATCCCTGGCCAAGTCACCCGCTCCCGGGCAGTTGGAACTTACCGCCTGCATCCAGGTTTCTTCCGACCCAAAAAATAAATAAATAAAAATTTAAAAAAGCAGCATCCATGTGGGTGCTGAGCCACAGTGTGGACCTTCCCTATGTTCTCTCTCCTCCCCTGAAAATGGAATGGGGCCTGTTGTTAGGTTTGAGAGACAATTAAATTAATCCTTGAAAGACATTCAGTGCCTAGCACAGAAGAATCAAGAAAGGATTAGGTGGGCATTTCAGATTCAGTTGTGCCATGCTGTGCACAAAATACAAGGAATGAGTTTCTATTTGTGGAAGAAATGGTCTACACATAACAAGGTGCAGGCTGTCCACATGGTGCCTCATGCTGGTCCTCATGCATCCCCCTGCAGCCTTGAAAAGTAGGGTGGGCATTCTTAGCCGCCCTTCAATTGAATTTGGTCTTTCAGCAAATCTTGTTTAGTGTCTGTGCTGACCTTTTCTCTGGGTTTCTGGGGAGTGTTTGTTAAGAAGGTCTTGAGATGGATGCTTTTATTTTGGAAACAGAATTATATGGGGTAATGAAGTCTGTGCTTTCCAGGGTGATGAGAAGGGCTGCAGAGGGTTGTGCTTCACCCCTTGGGTTGTAGCAAAGAAGGACTAAAGGCCTTTCTCTCTCACAGCACTTCCCTAGGGACAGAGGAGTAGATAGGCCATGCAAATGTCAGGACCTAGCAGCTTCCTGATAACCTCAGCTAAAGGAATAGTGCTCAGGAGCCTAGTGAGCCTCCACGCTGATGCTGAAGGACTTGGGCACGGATCCTTGAGCGTGCACATTCGCAAGGCAGTGATGTCTGTGGTAGAGACACCTACCACTTGCATCCGTGACCCTCACAGAAAGAACCAGACTTCTGCAGGTTATAAAATAGGGGACACACTTCTAGAGCTTGCACACCCTGTGTCTTAGTTAGGGTTACTATTGCTAAGATGAAAGAGCATGACCAAAAAGCAAGTTGGGTAGGAGCTTCTTCTATTTACACTTCCAAATTACACTTCATTTCATCACTGAAAGAAGTCAGAACATGAACTCGAACAGGGCAGGATTCTGGAGGCAAGAGCTGATGCAGAAGCCATGGAGAGGTGCTGCTTCCTGGCTTGTTCTCAGGGATTGTCCAGACTGCTTTCTTCTAGAACCCAGAACTAGGAACCTGGGAGTGGTCCCATCCACAATGAGCTGGGCCCTCTTCCACCGATCACTAACTAAGAAAATCCTGTACAGCTGGATCTTATGGAGGCATTTTCTCAATTGAGGCTTCATTCTCTCAGATAACCCTAGCTTGTGTCAAGTTGGTCTAAGATTAATCTGAATACCCTGTTCCGTGTGAACTTGAAGAAGATACCTTTAAAATAAGTTAGAGAAAATTTCTTTTCCCCCTGTGTTTGGAAGTGGTGAGAGGAGCAAGAGGGACAGGGAGCAGGAGGAGTCTCCTGTGTCCCCTAGCTGAATCAGGAGGAGATGGACTGTGTGCTTGGTGAGCCTCGCAAGCAGGAGAGGTCTCCCGCATAGCTGCACACTCCCTCCTGAGCACTTGGAGGCACCTGGGGATGTTAAGCTAGACACCTGGTCCCTAGTATGGGGCTAGTGGGACACAATGAGAACAGCAAGCCTCCCGTGTCATAGGCACAGAGCAGTGCTTCTCAAAGTCACTAGGAACTGGGCAGAAAGCAGATTTTTAGGCTGTTCCCCTGCTGTTCCCTGTTCCAGAATGCTGATGAGGCCTGAGTTATGATAAGACCTCCACATGGTTCCAGTGCAGAAGTCTGGGAAACTTGGGCTGAGATAATTCAGCTGCTAGGAAAAATCTGATCCATTTTGTATGGTCCTATATCAATAAAGGAGGACCCCTGTGTGTTGGAGGGATGACTCTTGAGTGCCCCTCCCAATGCTAAGAATGGAATCCAGGGTTCTGCTCATAGTAGGCTTTGTCACTGAACAATAAATAGCCCAGCTCTACCAGAATTTACCTGTTCAAGACTACTGTGGCCCATCCGTGACAAAGGACAATAAGTCCCCTGAAAGCTGAGAGACACGCAACATACCCTATAAGAACCTTTTCTTCATTAGTAAATTTACATAATGACATTTGCAAATTCTACCCAAATGGGCAAAGAGGAGGGTTCACTGGGTACAAGAAGAGTTACGCATCTGAGTGTTCCCCCGACCACGTCAGCCTCTGACAGTTCCCATGGTCCAGAGTGGAAGAAGTGAGAATCACAAAGCATCATGCTCTTCTCCTTCTACAGGAGGCTTGCCAAGTCCACCCTGCTGCTAATCCCACTCTTCGGTGTCCACTACATGGTGTTTGCTGCCTTCCCCATTGGCATCTCTTCCACGTACCAGATCCTGTTTGAGCTCTGTGTTGGTTCCTTTCAGGTAAGTGTGGGAAGCGCTGAGGGCACTGAAAACTGCAGGCATCTCTGACACTCTGTCTCTTTGCAGGGCCTGGTGGTAGCAGTGCTATACTGCTTCCTGAACAGTGAGGTAAGTCCTTCGTCAATTGGGGTCAGGAGTTAGCCCCATCGCTTACCTCTGCCCAGCTCTGCCCCCACACAACCAAAGCCAAACTTGCTGTCCCCAAAGCCCCACTTAGGAAGGATTTCACCCCTTCCAGAAAAATTTAGCCTCTGTCCTCCACCAATGTCCCCTTTATGGTCAGCATCTTATTCTTCAACACACAACTGAGTCCAAGAAATTATGGTGTTGGTGGGAAGGGCTGGGTCTCATTGAGAGATGAGACAAAAGTCAGAGCCTGGTTCTCCTTATGTAACCATTCCCTTCCATTCACCCTTCAGTTCCCAGAATCTACCTACCCTAGGTACTGCTAACTTTCCCTGTGTGACCCTCACCTGATGACCAGCTGCTTCTTCTAGTCACTAAGGAAGGCTTTTACGAAGCCAACATCCATGTCCCCTTCCAATACACTTTCTTCACTTGGAGTCCTTAGAGGGGAAAGATGTTGATGAAGGTACTATAGGAGCCATGGGTTTGTGCTGAAGCAAGACATAACCCCATACTACATCAGAATCCCCAATACCCATAAGGCTATACCCTTTTCTGTGCACCCCTGTCCTTCCAACCCCGTACTGCATCAGCATATCCTCCTGGAGTCTGCCACTCATACTTAACAAACCTGGGCCCATCTCCTACAGTCTCTGCTCTTCCTGCATCTCCTCACTTACCCAACACCTTTCTAAGGAATGGGGGTGGGCCAGAGCACCCACCATGTGACTACAGAGAAGAGTTCTAAAGCCTGTCTAGTGGGTGAATCTATGTTGTCTATTTAGAGGATACATGAGTTCCTGCATTCCAAGCTGACCCTTCATTAACACCCTCCTCCCTAGGTCCAGTGTGAATTGAAAAGAAGGTGGCGAAGCCTGTGCCTGACCCAACCTGGAAGCAGGGACTACCGGCTGCATAGTTGGTCCATGTCCCGGAACGGCTCAGAAAGTGCCCTACAGATACACCGTGGCTCCCGCACCCAGTCCTTCCTGCAGACAGAGACCTCGGTCATTTAGCTGCGTCCCTCCGATGGAACTGACGATGCTGCTGGGTTTGACACATGTGTCTGATGACTTCCTCTGCTGCCCAGTGTCTGATGCCTTACTGGGTCAGCCCCAGTCCTTACTCTGACCCTCGTGTGTAACTCGACTGAAACACTAATTATTATCGTCAAACTCCAGCCTTTAAGCCATCCTCTTCATAATATGGCTTGGCCACATAGGCAGATCTACTTTCAAAGAAAGCCAAGTGGCCCTGAACATCAAAACTGGAGCCTGGTACCTCTGAAAAAGACAAGGAAGAAGTTTCTGGTTCCCTACTTGTCAGGGGAACCGGGTCCAGAACCAGCTGAGCATCACCATCCAGTGGCACCCAGTGCATGCCTGTGGATGTCTGTGAAATTTCTCCTCAATCCATGACAGACTGCAGAAATCAGTTGAGAGCAGCCTTCTCATCCTAGAAGTCCTAGAAGCTTCCTGGTCCCCATGGCCTTGAGTCCTGTCCTGTGGGATGGGCCTCTGCATCTGGACAGTCACACCCTTGCTACTCCCTGGACCACTTGGTAGTGACCAAAAGATAAGTCAGGGACCATATTTATGGTTCAGTGGCCAGCCAGGAGCTCACATCTTCCTGGTCACTTAGCATTTGCTGCTTCCCACAAGGGGTGAGCAGCTCTGGATTCCAGGCTCGCCCATCAGGATGAAGGCCCTGGTGACTCTCCATACGGTCCAGGGTGTTCTCTAGGCAACAGAAAACTGTTCTCTTTTTGAAGAAAATCATTATCTTAAAATTGTTTAAAAAGAGAATTGTTTTATCAAAATATAAGATGGCATCAAGTTCTCCTATCCAATATTTGCCAATAATAATCCTTATTTTTCCTGTTATTTGCAACTGTGGACAGGTAGACCTGGGGGGAGTCACATGACATGATGAAGAAGCAGCTGAAGAGTGAAGATGCCTGTCCCTGCGGTGCCCAGAGACCCTGGAAAGCTGCCTTGGCCCAGTGAAAGGGCTGTAGGTTCTGGACCTGGTGTTCTGGCACAGTCCATGTAACCCTGCCACACACACACACACATGCAACACACACAGTACACACGTACACAACATGCACATACACAACACACACCACAAACAAGAGCTGCAAAGTGTTTTTCCTGTGGTTTCTGTGGCATATAGACCCCAGCCAACATGAATGCCAATGCCCTCAACAACTGTGCCAGAGCCAGAGGTCTCAGGGTCTGGAAGCCACAAAAATAAGGACCCCACTTCCAGTTCTCTAGAAATAAAGCTGGTACATGGGGCTCTGGGACAGCAGAGAAGTGAGCATCTAGAGACTACCTGAGACCCAGTGGCCAGACTTCTGCCTTGGATGTCTGTCCCACAGGACTGCCCCTGGAGTTCTGGTTCCATCAACTCCTAGCAAGCCCCATCTTGACTGCAACTGTATTGGATGGATAGCTCAGATAATCTAGAAAACACCACTAACCTGCTACCGCCTGGGGCTGAGGAGCAGGTCATAGGGAGAAAATGGCCTAGGTCAGGTACCCCAAAAAGGCTGTTGGCAGTGGCAGTAGGTTGGTGCTATAAGCCGTGGTGTGAGCCTTGCCTCTCTTCATCCTGAGTTATCACTGCTCAATACAGCAGTTCTAAAGAAGCAAAGCTTTTTCATATCTGAAGGCATCCTATCAACAACCTGGTGTGGTCACCCTGCCATGACCCCAAAGAGACATGCGGGACCTGTGAACACAAGCAGTCACCATCCATGAAGCAGTTACTGATCACACATGGAGCATTCCGATGAGCAGGGACACTGTCACCACAGCCCAGCATTGCTGACAGCAGACAGAGCTGGGCCTAGGGCTGCTCCCTGGTGAAGAGATGGGCTGCTCACGAACTGGTCCCCACCGGAACTGACCAGTAGCAGAGGTGTGATAACCACATGGTCAGCATGTGATCTTCCGTGTTCTATGTGGAATATCTACAAACTGCACCACAGAGTGGAACTGAGCTGTGTATATACTGCAATAAACTTAACTTCATTCCATGTGAGAGCTTGCTTTGAGTGATGGTGAGGTCCTAGAACGCAGCTGTGTGTGCCACACCCCTTGAGCACCCTGACTCAGGACCATGCTGTCTATAATTCATGTAAGAAGGTGGGTCTGAGGTAGCCGAGATGTGTAAGTGGCAGCCATGAGGATGTGCCCAGCATATCTGGCTATTTCTACCCTGCAGCCTTAATCCCCTCCCTCAGCCCTACAGAACCTGAGCCTGGTCAACAGAGGACACTGAAGTGTGTGTGTGTGTGTGTGTGTGTGTGTGTGTGTGTGTGTGTGTGTGTTAGATGTATATAAAGTTGTTAAATGTGTGCTTAGTGTACTTAAAGTACATATATATGCAAGTGTGTATGCTTATTTGTAGGTGGGTGTTTGTGAATGGATGCACACATGTGTGCGTGTGGGTGTGCTCAGGTATATATATGTGCATATGTGTGCCTGTCTGTGGGTTCTTTTGTAGTCTGACTCTTAGCCACTAGGCAGATAAAACGTTTCTGTTCCATACTCACCACACTGCTGGTATGTAATCACGAACATAGAAGAGCAACTGGGGAATTTCCTTAGAAAAGGCAGCAGGAAGAGAGAAGAGGGCTCTGCAGGGCCCGCTAGGATCACAGCTGTCCTGTCTAATCAGGGATGCTTGGGATGAGGTGCTCAAAGCAGGGCAGCTCTGTGGATAGGCCCCCGGGAGTCAGTCCGCTGGGACAGCTGGGAACCACAGTGAGAACCTTCTCCATCTGTGAGAAGGCACAGGCTTTCCTTTCTCACCAAGCCAGACATTTCTAATCAGCTGCTTCAAATGATAGGAACTTCATAAGAGAGATAGGAAACTTCAGATTTGGGGGAGTTGTCACACAGAAAATGGAATGCCCTGAGACTGCCAACCCCAGAGGTAGCCATTGGGAACTGGATGCTGGCCCCAGGCCTTTTCATGTCAGAGATAATTCCGTCCCTCTTTTAACTCACGGAAATTAGGTCAAGCTGCATACAGGTTGTTAGCCAGCCTTGTTCAGGCAAGTGAGAGCAGAGGTCTTTCCCTTGTGGACACAGGGACCAAGTCTCTCTATGTAGTCCAGGCTGGTTTTTCAAGTCTCTACTCTCCTGCCTCAGTGCTCAGAGTATCTGGGCTCAGAGTTGTGTCCTCCAGTGTCTAGCTCAGAGCTGGAATATTTTTCAACAACTGTATTTATGTTTCCCTGAGTATTTGCCCACTGTGAGCTACTGGCAGAACACAGAATTGAGGGCACTCATTGCTGGGTAAGCTTGGGGCCTGGGGCCTGGATTGGCAGAAGGCTGCCCCCTGCTACACATAGAGGTGCTATGAACATGGTAGTTAGCCCAGGTGGTACTTTCATTTCTTCCTAGTCTGCTTGGACAGTGTTCACTAGAACATTCGTGTCTCTCAATGAAAGGGACACCGAGCATCATCGCTACAGATTTCTCCTCTAATTCGCCTGGATGCGTGGGCAGCCAGCCTCCCTCTTCCGTTACGGGGAAACAGGGACAAGGGTGGGAGAGGCAGCCTGCTGGAGGTCACAGCACTTCACACTGTCATCATCACTGCCAGCAGGCCCCGCAGAGCTTGCTACAGGAGGACTTGGACCATACAAAGGATTTGGGACATCTTTTATATAGAAATATGTTCTTTTTAGATGAAAAGAAAAAGGACACGCCCTTCCTTTGTATTCTCAGGAGAATTAACAAGGGAAGTAGAGCAAGCGCCCATGTCGGCTGGTGGTCACCTGGTTGCTGAAGACAATATCTCTTCTGCAGGAAGGACACTTGCTCCCCAGGGCTGTTCAGGACTTTCTCAAAAGCTGCTTCTGTTGAATAGCTGGAGCTGAAGATAACACACTGGAGGATAATTACAGAGCAGAGTCCTTTTAAAAGTCGGGGTTTTCATATTCTTAGATGCAAAGCTTTATGTAAAATCTCCAAAAAGCACAAAAATGCAATGCCCCTTCAAAATCCTAGCTATTGTGACTGATAATGTACTTATAAGGAAAATATGTAAACTGTGAGGTTTTTAGCCATAAAATAATTACTCTCCTTTCAGCTTTAAAGCCCGTGCCGTAGCCTATTATATGCTGGTTTTGTATTGCAAGAGTAGACCTTTCTGTGACACCAGAGGACACATTCTTACATCAACAGGAGCAGTAGGTCCGTCCAGGTCCAGTGTATGAGAGTGGTGACGTGCATCCTGAACTCAGGTACCTGAGACCTACTCATTGTAGAGCCTGCTCACCCTGGAGCCTCCAGTTCATTATCCCCTGGCCCTTCACTCCCTCTCCTGGGCTCTGCTTTGTCAGGGCTATGAACCTGAGAATCCTACAGGGAGAGAGGAAGGCAGCAGATGGGCAGGGCTGGGGCAGTAGTCCAGGGGACACGGCCCTGTGGGGCTGTGAGGAAGATACGATCATGGGAGCGACCCAAAGGGTTAAGAGGCATTGCCAGACACACTCAGTAACAGCAAAGCAGAGCACAAGATACTGGTAGTCAAGGGACTAAGGGCCCAAAGGCAAAAGAGAAAGCAGACACAAGTCCAAACAGCAAACAGGACCTCTACAGAGCAGCACCACGCATGGGATGGTGGGTGTGTCAGGAGTTCAATCCCAAACCAGGCCTGGCTTCTCAGCGGCCCTGTCCAGATTCAACACATGAGATCCTTGTGGATGCCAATACTCCTGGAGCAAAGCAGCCACACCCAGCAAGACTGTTGGGAGCCCCGGGGGTCAGGGCTGCATTTACAGGACAGTATGACAGCTAGACCAAGTCACTGGAGCCAGTGAAGATCATCAGGGATGACACAGACTTCACCAGACTCCGGGACCAATCAAACAAGTCATGACCTCTGATAGATGCCCTGGCCTCCCTAGAGGATCTCATTCTGATAACTCCTGTACAGAGGCAAAAGTGACTGACATTCCAGAACGGGGGGAGAAACCTTGACCCGGGCATCTGGCAAATGCGCCCTATGACTTGGTCATCGTGAGGACCTGTCTTGCAGCTCTAGAGCCACCGTGTGTCCAAGAATGGAGTTGTTGATAACCACTTTACCAAAAACTGGAAAAGGCAAGAAGAATAAGGAAAATGATGCAAAAAATTAAACCTAGATGCTCTGATGGCCATAAAAATGATGTGTACACAATGACATTAAGTTCAAGCGATGCACTATATGATGAAAAACCATTTGGTGGCTTTAGTGCAATAAATTATCATAATATAATATCTATTGTGTCATACAACATATTAGTTCCCAAGTTTATTTACTCTAAATTTTTAAATAAACTTCAAAGTATACATACACTTTGAATTTTATTTCTGGAAATCTTTTCTAATTTAATATTCCCATTTAAACATTGTCATTGCAAAGATACTTAAAAACTGAAAATAATCTAATATTCAATTATTAAATAATGAATAAATAGTTACTGAGAATATAGAATAAAGACTCTGGCATTGAAGCCCACGTGAAAAAGGTGATTCCAAGGACTATGTCCTATGTGTCACCTCTGACAACCACCTGCCCTCAGCAATGTGCCACTGAACCCTCAGAAATGAGATCAGGACCATGGCAAGAGCCATCCATACATAGACGTACCAGCTTGCTGTACTGTGTCACCTAGGAACATCTACCAGCATGGAAACTGCTTGCTCAGCCTGAAGCCTGAGACTTCCACCA